TTTATTTATTTTTGATAAGATAATAAAGGTAATTTCAATAATAGATCCTCTCATATTTTTTTCATATAATTATGCTATGTGAAAATTTTATTAAAATATCCTGGATTTTTTTTCAAACCCCAAAATAATATTTTTTTTGATTATAAAAAATAATTTTTTCTGCTGTTGTAGGAGAAACATTAATCCCAAAGATAAAATAGCCCTTTTCATTTGTATATAGAAAATTAACTACCTCAAATAAATTGTATAATATAAGGATTTGATTTTTGTGAAAATTATTAGTGAATTATATTCTGTTGCTTCGTTATTTTTTTTTTGATATTATGAATTTTATCAAAATATCCTGTGTTTTTTCTCAAACTCCAAAACAATATTTTTTTGAATTATAGGAGATAATTTTATCTTTTGTTATAAGAAAAATGTTAATCCCAAAGATAAAATAGTCTATTTCATTTGTATATGAAAAATTAATTACCTAAAATAAATAGTATAATATAAGAATTTAATTTTGGTTAACTAATTGCAAAAAAATTTAGTGAATTATATTGTGTCGCTTCATTAAAAAAATTATAATTTTTATCAGAGATCTTACTTAAACATCTTGATACAAATAGTATTTTTAAAGTAAACCATCTTGTTTAGTTTTGGTGAGTTTTTTTGTACTCCGATTCCGAAGAACAAGTTTGAGGCCTGTGCTACCAATCTTTGAGAAGTCAACGACCCTAGTAGTTCAAAAAAATCAATTTTACTGACTCTACTATATTACCTCCAAATTGATTTCAGTGATGTAATGATATCATCTCAAATCATTGGAAGCTCCAATATCATCGAAAACCGATCAAAATGTCACTTTTTATTACAGAGTTATTTTTCAATTTGTCACGGTGCAAGTTTGCTACCTGGTGTAGCGAACTCGATTTACTGACATATCACATTTCTAGTGAATAACAAGTACCAAGTTAAAAAAAAGGTGTGAAGTTCGCTACCCCGTGTAGCGAACTTGGTGTCCACTAGAAACGTGACATGTCAGCAAACCGAGTTCACTACACCGGGTAGCGAACTTGCCCCCGTGGTAAAATAAGAAATAACACTGTTCACGTGGCATTTAAATAAAAAAACTAGTGAAGAGTGACATTTTGGTCACTGTTCCCAATATCATGATATTTTAACAATAAAATGGGACCATGATTTAGAAAATAAAAAGGTCCTATAATTATAATTCACAAGTAGCTACTTCACCATTAAATAATTTGAATTTTTTTTTTATAATTAATTCATCCAAACAGAAACTAAAATAATACAACAAGTAAAACACCTTCATGTTTTAAAAAAGGCAAAAGTATTTATATCTATCTCTACGGCAATAATACTTTATTTGTCACAGACACATATTTATTAGGATCTGACGTGGGATCATGATGAATATGTGTATATGGTAGATAATTTTTTTTTGTTATAACTGCAAGAACACTTTAAAAAAAGTATCAAGTTTTCAAACAATTAAAACTAAACTCGCATTATAAGTATCCGAATAATGATAAATCCATTTAAATTCGTCCATGAGTCAAGTGCTACTAGTATAGCATTTCAAGGGTCTTTAAAACCACACTGTTTTTTGCACTGGAATAACAAAGGTTATATGACAAATGGCACACTTGGGGTGGCCTAGTTCAGAAGAGTTGATTAATTAAATTAGTCACTGACATCGGGTTTATATGTATATTTGTCAACTTTCTGGTTTTGCTTAATGTGGTCCATCTTGATTTGTGTCGGAGCTTTTTTTAATTTTTTTTTTGTCTCTTTTTCTTTATTAATCGAATTATATATAAATGGTAAATGGATTTACTGGTCCATAATATTACCAATGCCTTTTAAACTGTTTAGAGGATACGATGATAAGTTTGATGACCCTTTCGGGGCATCAGGATTTGGCTTCAGTAAAGTCTTCCTTCCCGTTAGGACTCCAATTTAGTAAGTTTTGGTTCAATTATTTGAGAGAGAGAGAGAGAGAGAGTTTCTACAATAAAATATTGATTCGCAATGTTTCAATACGAACAAGTACATGTTACTTGGGTTAGTTCTAAAGCCAAGCCAGCTGGCAATAGATACCCTCACCTTCCGATCTGATATAAACCTTATAATTGCCATAAAATAAGCAATGAAGACAACATTTTAACTTGAATTATATAACATGATCATTATTCATGTTTATATATATAGTCAAATCTGCATCTAATGCTAATCATTTTTGTTTCCAAATGACGACACAAACTTGCAAGAACATATTAGCTAGCCCGCTTTCGTGAGAGAGAGAAAAAAATGAAGTATACATCCCAGTTTTCTTTCATCTATATGATTGAACACAAGACCTTAAAAAATCATTTTGGCTTTCGTCAATTTTGAAGTAACAGCAGAAACATTCGCTTCACCTAGAGTGAAATCCATTATGAACATGATCAGACACAAACATTGGCAATGACAGCTGAATTTGCAATCTTTGTTAGGTACCACCATAAAGAAAGATTGAGGGATATGTCTAACCGTTTAACAAAAGCTACGTTGCAACTGTAGCCGATACGATACGACCGATGTCTAAAGGTTTTTCGTTAATATTTTTTTTTTTTTTTAAGTAAAGATGATCAATCACATTATATATAAGGGTTTTATTTTTCTTATTTTGCATGACACAAGTTATCTCATGCAATACACAAAAAGTGGATGAGACCCACTAAAAAGGAAGAAAGAAAAAATAAAGAAGTGGGTCCCACTCATTTTTTGTGTGTTGTATGAGACAACTTGTCTCATGCAACATAAGAAAATTAAAACTCTACGTATAATTGCTTGCAAATATTATTTCACAATTGACGGTGTAAGCAATTAAACTTTAAATTCGTAATTGCGCCTCTATTAATCAGTCATTACATGTTTGACTGTTGTTAGATTATTCCCTTTGATGTTTATAATAAAACTAAGGTTGCAATCTCTCTCTTTTTTTCAAATAATTTTTTCTGTACCAACAAAATATTTTGTTTACAAATAAATATTTTTTAAATTATAAAAAAACAATTTGAGAAGTGTATGTGACTGTTTCATATGCATTAATTAATAAATGAAAAATAAGATTAAGTATATTTTTTTAGGTCGAATGTCATTGTATTTTTGTTTATTTCATTTTTTTAATAAACTACGGAGAAGAAGGGTCAATATCCCAAAAAGGCAACACGTGAACTATCACAATAAGTAAAATTAAAGAACACTTTTATGGATTAACTCAGAAACTTAATGAATAGCTCACAGCTTAGCAAGGTACAGGGTAGGATATAATGGACAATCAACATTCTAATTATTCTTCTAAGAGCACAGTAGACATGAGTCAAGATAGGTGAGCAAATAATAATTAAGAGGAAGAGTTTGCCTCGTAGGAGAAAAGTTAGTATGCACCCGGTGCAATGCACCTTTTTTTAAAAATTGAAAAAAACTAGGACATGGAAGGAAATATCTAAAATGATAGGGATAAAAATGTCATAAAAAATTTCTTATTTTAGAAAATGAAACACTGAATTATGGTACACCGGGTCTATGTTAACTTTTCTCGCCTAGTAGATAACTTCTAAAAATTATTTATTTACATGTAAGTTTGCATTATAGTATTTTGTAAGTAAATAAAATTGAGTTGTTTCCACTTTGAACTGCTTTCGATAACTAATAAGAGTGAAGTTTCAATTTAATTTATTTATTAGTGCAAAACTATTTACATAATAAGAAAAGTGTTAAGTTATTATAGACTTATAGTAACTAAGAATTTTCACGTAATTAAATTCACATTAGTTATAAATGCGTTGTTTTAGTACTTAAAAAAGGCATAAAAATTTCCTTCTTTAGGTACAAGATAGTAAAAGAGAAAGAAATTCAAACATGTTGATTCTGATTACTTATATAAAAATAGAATTTTTCTTATTATAAAAGCCTTTTTTTTTTTGTTTTTTATTATATACATAACAGTTTCAAGTTTTTGCTATATGTTTGGTTCTAGATTACAAGCTATTCAAAATTATTTTTAGGATTTTATTAATCTCATATTAAAGGAGATAAATTATCTCATGTTATAGAGACAAATTTGTGAGTTCCATCACCTAAAAAAAGAAAAAAAGAAATAAAAAAATGACACAGTTATCAAAAATCAAAAGATGTGTAGGAAAAAAAACTTTTCTCATATAAAATAATAATTTTCTTATTTTTATTACTATTATCATTAAAACAACAGTTTTTGAAGCTATAATTCAACTTTTTTTTTTTTTTATCATTTTACAACTTAAATAAAAAACCTAGCCCTCCAAAAATACTATTTTAAAATTATTTTGTAGAGAGTTTTTTTTTTTTTTTTGGCGAAAGGCAAGTATGCGTGTCTCATGTCTTATGTGAAACATGTCAGTGATTTGATGAAACTGATATACACTGTACAGCACAACTAAGTTACGACGACGTCCAAACATTCTTCTTCCTTGCTTCCATCTGCAATTCAGGGGAAGGGCAGCTCTGTCATTTCAGACAAAGGGTAAAACTGTCCCATCACACCACATTAATAAAAGAGATTTATTATTCTTATGTTTCATAAAATATAATTTATCTTCAACATATAAATTTAAGATGGGTCTCACTTTATTTTTTTTTTCTCTTTCCCTGAAAATGGACCCCACCTATATCAATGAGTGTGTAGAAGATAACTTTTATCTTCTACTACATCAGAAAACTATTACCCTTAATAAAATTCAAATAGAAATTTAAATTACCGAGATCTTCATCTCCACCGTCGGCAGGTTCCATCAAACGGCTAACATTACTTCTCAGCAGAAAGAGAGGGAACAAATGTGAACCGTCGATCATATCATTCCATACACACTCAACTCTCACTCATCACTGTATAAATGGCGCTAGGTTACTCTTCTTCCTTCCAAAACCTATCTCTCTAACTTCAAAAAACTCTTATCTCTCTCATCGTTCTTCGTCACCGCCACAGGTATCTCTCTATTTCTCTCTCTAGATCTGGAATCATCAATTGAGTGAAATTTATCAATTGAGTGAAATTTCAACTTTAATGCTTTGTGATTTTTGAATTTTGCAGGGGAAAATGAGAGAAATCCTTCATGTTCAGGGAGGACAATGTGGGAACCAGATCGGTTCCAAGTTCTGGGAGGTTGTTTGCGACGAGCATGGCATAGATCCAACGGGGAGGTATGTAGGGAACTCCGATCTACAATTGGAGCGCGTGAATGTGTACTACAACGAAGCTTCTTGCGGAAGGTTCGTTCCACGCGCCGTCCTTATGGACTTGGAGCCTGGCACCATGGACAGCGTCCGCACCGGTCCTTACGGCCAGATCTTCCGACCGGACAACTTTGTTTTCGGTCAGTCCGGCGCCGGAAACAACTGGGCGAAGGGACATTACACTGAGGGCGCTGAACTCATTGACTCTGTTCTCGATGTCGTTAGAAAGGAGGCTGAGAATTGCGATTGCCTTCAAGGTAAAACCGAAACCGAAACGAATACAGTGCAATGATTTATGTTTGATTTGTTCATGGTGAGTGATGTGTGACTTGATTTTTTTTTGGTTGTTTGTAGGGTTTCAGGTGTGTCATTCGTTGGGTGGTGGAACGGGGTCTGGGATGGGAACACTTTTGATTTCGAAGATCAGGGAGGAGTACCCTGATAGGATGATGCTCACTTTCTCCGTCTTCCCTTCCCCTAAGGTCTCTGATACTGTCGTGGAGCCTTACAATGCTACTCTCTCTGTTCATCAGTTGGTGGAGAATGCTGATGAGTGCATGGTTCTTGATAATGAGGCCCTCTATGATATCTGCTTCAGGACTCTCAAATTGACCACTCCTAGCTGTGAGTTCTGAATCAATCAACGCTTTTTTAGATTTTCCTAATTAGATATAGATTATATACTTATATATGCATGACTGGTTCACAGGCTAGGCTAATTGTGTTTTCAATAACCTTTAATTGGTTATTTATTTAATTGTTGATTGATCTGATTTATTACTGTGGGTTTAACAGTGACACGTGTAGTTTGGGAATTTTTCTTAATTTTTCTGCTAATTTGTTCTCTCTCTAATACCATTTTGTTAACTAGCTCGGTGATTTAATTCTGTTGTATTTTTGGTGTCTTTTTTGTTTGTAATTACTGAAAATGTGGTAATTGTTTGTTGCTTTAACAACAACACGTACAATTCAGGAAACTTTCTTCTTTTGCCAATTTGCTCTGTATTTTATATGTTGGGTCTGAGGCTGATTTGTTAAATAATTGGGTGACTTGTTTCTGTTGTATCATTGGTGTTTTTTTTTTCTTCTGAAAATTGTGGTAATTGTTTGTTGCAGTTGGTGACTTGAACCACCTGATCTCAGCAACCATGAGTGGGGTGACTTGCTGCCTTCGTTTTCCGGGTCAACTCAACTCTGACCTTAGGAAATTGGCTGTGAATCTGATCCCATTCCCTCGTCTGCACTTTTTCATGGTTGGATTTGCGCCCCTTACCTCACGTGGCTCCCAGCAGTACCGTGCATTGACTGTCCCGGAACTGACCCAGCAAATGTGGGATGCCAAGAACATGATGTGTGCTGCTGATCCTAGGCACGGTCGGTACCTCACGGCATCGGCCATGTTCAGGGGTAAGATGAGCACCAAAGAAGTGGATGAGCAAATGATAAATGTCCAGAACAAGAACTCTTCCTACTTTGTTGAGTGGATCCCCAATAACGTTAAGTCAAGTGTCTGTGACATTGCTCCTAAGGGACTCTCCATGGCATCCACCTTCATTGGGAACTCAACTTCCATTCAGGAAATGTTCAGGAGAGTGAGTGAGCAATTCACTGCCATGTTTAGGAGGAAGGCTTTCTTGCATTGGTACACTGGGGAAGGTATGGATGAAATGGAATTCACAGAAGCTGAGAGCAATATGAATGATCTCGTGTCTGAATACCAGCAGTACCAGGATGCCACTGCTGAGGAGGAAGGAGAATATGAAGATGAGGAGGAAGAGGAACACGAGCAGATGTGAAGGGGCTGAATAAAGAAAGTACTAGGCTGATATCTCCTACTTATTGCATTATACTATATGATGCGTAAGTGTGTTTTTCTCCTCTCTCCTACATGAAGATTGTAATTAGTATGTTTTTGAGGGATACTGGTGATGAGCCTGATGTGGAGAATGGAAATTGTGTGTTTTCTTTCTCCATAATATTGCAGGCAATAGAGGGTAATGGAAGTGGGAGTTTGGGTACATGTTTTAAAGTAGTCATGCGGCACCTATCTGTTTGTTCTATATTGTCTTTGTTTGTTATTTCTATCTGGTACATTGGATTATGGTTGCGTAATATTTTGTTATTCTTATGCATGCCTTTTTCTACATTGGATCCTTGAAATGTCTTCTGTTATTTAAGAGAGAAAGCCTTGCCTCATCTTTTCTGGCTGAAGAACCTTGCGCAGCGCATATTACTTGATAATGTCCTAATATTATATATTACGGCTTCCGATCGAATCGTAACTATGCTTTGGAATGTAATACTAGTTTTGATAATAATTCACTTGAAACACATCAAGATCACCTAGAACCAAAATATGATACATCACTTGTTATATCCTCAATATTTCAAATTGTATAATAGTACAAGCCAGTAAGTGTTAAATTAAAGTAAAACTATCACGCTACATAATATTTTGAATATTTTTTTTTTTAACTTTTAATTCCTTGACGAGTTTTGAAGTAATACTTACCAAAGCCCAAATTTCAATACTATGTTAATTGTATTAATAGCGTTGAAGTGCCAATACGTCATGAGAGTGCAAAATTTGATTTCAAAAGCTATGCACTCGAAAATATTTGATTTAAAAAATATATAAAATAAAAGGAATTTGCTAAAAAAAAATAAAAAAAATAAGTATTTTGAGTAGATGTGTAAATAGGCTAGGTTGGATAAGATTTTGACTTATATAGGTTAAATCTATGTAAAATATTTTAAATATGGCTTGGGCCTTGGAGTACATCAAATTCTAAATTTGACTTGATTTGTATTTTAAAAATAAAAAATTTATATTTAAAAAATAAAAACCTTGACCTAGGGTAATTGATTTATTTAAGTTTATTAGATATTTAAAAATTTAAAAATAATTAAAATAATATTATTTTATTATTTATATTTATTTAAATACCATTCAAATGTCCATAGATTGACACTTGTGTGGCAACGGCTAAACAGATATTCAAGTTCTAAATGCGGAATAACAGAATTTCATATATTGGTATTTTTTTTTTTTATAACATATATTGGTATTTTTACTATTGCTAAACATCGAAAATCTTTTCACAGTAATAGAAATTCAAAAGTCTAAGTCAATACAGTCAAAATTGAGTTTCTACGTAGAAACAAAAAGGGGTAGTAGAAACGAAAAGGGATAGTAGAAATATAATTCGTAGAAATGAAACGAAACATAACTGTTTTATTACTTAAGGTCAAGATACAAAATTATATATATATATATATATATATATATATATATATATATATATATATATGTAAATTTTTTTTACATAAGTCATTACTCAAAATTTAATAAATAACTTCATATTTAAAATATATAAGTCACGTAACTATATAAGATATATGTTTAAAAACATTAAAAGAGAAAATTGAATTTAAAAAAACAGAAAATAGATTTTTTTAAAAATAAAAAATAAAAAATTGAGTTTATGTAAAAATGTTAAAAAAACGTAAAATCTCGTGTTTATACCATTTTTACGTTTCTACACAGCGTTTTTACCCGTTTTTACTAAGGATCGTTTCTACTTACATTTTAACACTGTGTTTCTACCATTTCTATGTTTTTACGTTTTTAGACTAATTTTTGACAACAATGGTCTACGTCATCATATATGTCACTAAAAATAATATGAAACGTATATGGAACCAAAATCAAAACCCAATTCATATAATGATAATTTACAAAAAGCACTGTCAATCCACCTAAAGTGTTGTTTCACTAAAAACCAAAATATAATCATGAAAGCATCAAAATACATGAAAACAAAAAATCATGAGAATATGCATTACAACAAACCCATCTCCATTATTTATATATAATTTTTTTTACTATAGTTGCTAAAATTCTTGCGATGAAATAACTCCTGGATCATGTATATGATTATAAAATACTGCAACAATAGAAATCAAAGTTGCGATTGTGTGTATTTTATTAGCCATAACCAAGTCAGAGGAAACAAGGAAAACATGTCAGGATATTTTCCTCTGTAATACTTGTTAGAAATTTTTATATGTGGACAATATTAATTAATGTTTTTGTATTTTCTAAAATAATTGGGTTAATAGATATTCCAATTTAATCTGTTGTTTAAGTCCATTGTGATCATGTTGAGTTGGGCTAGGTCCCCTGTAATAACATGGTTTAAGTCCTCTGTAATAACATGTTATCAAACGCATTTTTTTTTCTCAGAAATTGTTCCAAGGCACAGAAATAGAAAAGAATTGTTTCTTTTCAGAAATAGTGCCAGGGAATAGAATGGTTGTCATGCACACACCTAGTGGACACAAACTCTTTTCAGGGTATTTGGCTAGGTCCCCTCTCTAGCCTTTTTATATTAGGATTAAGCCTCATGAGCCGTCGTGCTCCCATCGCATTGAGGCTGCCACTTTCGGAATAGGCGATAGAGAGGAAGATCCTGACATGTAGTCCTTTCTTTCCTCCTGCTTTGTGATGGTCCAACAAGTACGTATAATCTCAACTTTGATTTAATTTTTTTTGATATTTTATAATCATATACATGATCTAGGAATTATAAATCTTTCATTTGGTATCAGAGCCTTGTGTATAAGCTTATAGAATCCATGTTGTTGATTGAAATCAAAGAAATTGTTTACAAAAATAAAAAATTATGAAGGGCGAAACTTTATACATTAATTCATAAACTTGTTCAATTGAATTGAGAATCTCAGAGCTTTTTGTTTTACATGTCAAGATTCTTCCATTGATATATATTATGTAGTTTTCATGATTTGAAGGAGAATTTAAGTTTTTAAATCTTAGGGTTCATCACTTATATTGTTCATCTCGCAAGAATATTCTCACCCAAATCAGAGCTATTTACTCATCTCGCAACTAAGAAACACTGGTTTGGCGAATTGGTATCCGGTTTTGGTGAACTAGGATCCGTGATATGGACTTTCGGCCTTTTCACATTTATTAGTATTTAAATTGGTATACATGCGAAATTAGTGTATCAGCTTAAAATTTACACTATTGTCCAACTAGGTTTAATACCAACAGATACCAACAATACAACTCAATATTATCACAATAGACTAATCAAAATAATAGAATTGTTAATTTTAACACATTTAATTAATTAATATTACTCGGATAGAATTTTCCAACAATTATCACTTTAATCTTAAACAGGCATATCGGTAATTCCAAACACTTCCCCACTAGGCTCTCCACCTGGATTATCTTCAAGGTTTCAACCGTAGAATCATGTTCAGCAGAAGGCTCAGTATTTAAAGAAGAAAGTAATGCGTACTTTACTCAATAACCGATGAATCGATATGTAATATGAAAAAAATATCAGTCGAAAATACTTTGGCTAACATTGATTTCAAAGAAAAGAAAAGCTCATTATACACTAAAAATTGTCGGGTAACAAAATAAACAATAACACGATCAACTATTTCGGCCATGAAATCTTTGGAGAAAAAAAAGTATTGATATTTGAACAGAAATACAAACAAAAATTACACACAAGAATAGGAATGATTACATCTGGACAACTAATACTAAATCAAAGGCAAAGTTGTATCCTACTTCAAAGTTGGACTTGGTTGCATCATTTTCTTCTTTGGAGGCAAAGTTGTGGCATCAGTACCACACGTGTGCAGCGTGTTCGAATAAGAAGTGAAGCAGACTCTGGTTTCACATCCATGTTCACATATTTCCTCAAGTACCATACAATTTTCATTACTCAAACCATAGCCACAGACCTTCATCGTTGTAGCAAAGACCAAAAGATCACCATTCAAGACAGTAAAACCTATGACAATAGGATCTTGCTCCATCAATCCCATTGCTTTCACTCTTACTTTCAATATCATTCTCCAAGAACTTGATTCATAGTCGCTCAAAGCCTATATGGTAAATACACACTTTATTAACCTCACCAAACAAATGGATTTAGTTGAAGTAGTGACTTTACCCCATTTAAAATTCCCCATGTTACAAATGACATCATCGAAACCCCTTCTTTCTTTTTTAGGCACATGGAGCATTCTTGATGCTCCACTCTCAAGATTATAGGACATGATATATGGCCAACAATATTGACTGTTTCTGTTAACGTAAGGAGAACAATATGAGATGAAGTGGATGGAACCATTATGAATGACAGGAATGTCAAATCTCAAGTTCCTGGGACCAGTGGTGAAACTTTCTTCCCTTGCTTTCCATACACCTTCCTTGTGAAGGTAAGCATTGCAATACAAATTTGAAGACCAACCATCTTTTGGGTTCTCACAAAAAAGAAACAGCATGCAATCATCTGAGTCGCATTCCAAAATGATTTTGAGATCAGCCTCATCACTCACCTGCAAATCCTCTGGGACAGGAATGGGGGACAAAGATTGTGTTGCTTGGTTAAAAATAAACAACTCAACTTGGTTCAAACAAGTAGCACGACAAAGAATCAAGCCATTCTTTGAAGCCACAATTCTTGCAGAGTTAGTCAAGAATTGTAAAACATCATTAGAGACTCCAGATGATAGCTCCTCTCCCGGTAAAGGTGTAACTCTGTTTGGCCATTGTACCTCTGACCAATATCTGATTGAATGAAGAAGCACATGTCATCCTTTAACAATGCATTATGAGCCTGCTTCGATGCAAATAATGTTTCGTCTGAAAACTTTGAGGAAAACTTGCCAACTGACTTGAACCTGTAAACAACTTTTGCTGGTAAGAAAGAGAATATCTCAAATAACACATCATGGGACATTGCCATTATGATGAGTTGTTTGAAAGCAAAGAAAATTTTCGAGAGGGATGGAAGAAGGATGAAAGATAACTATGATGAAAGAAAAAGAGAGAGAACGTGTGTGTTTCTCTAGCTCCACCAACAAATAATAATTAAGGTTTACGTGGAACGTTTAGGAAGAAGTAAATAGCTCACAAGTCACAAGTAATTAAGAGAATACAACTAAAATAAGAAAGCCCTATGTATGTGGGATCCATGACCCTCAATTTGGTAATAAATGCCTAATTAGGTGGCATCATCCCTTCTTACCTTATCATCTTTGACCTTGCTTGAAGTCTCTGTCCATACTAT